GAGAGAAAAACACCCACGATGGGAGAGGATCCCGGACCGGCTGCCTCCTGCACGCCCCCCACGAGGATGGAGCCCGCAGCCCAGGCCTGTGCCCTGACGGGGAGTCGAACCCCGACCGCCCGGCTCACAGGTCGCGCTCACCCTGAGCCGGCCGCGGGCGCCTTTTTCTGCTAGAAGGACGTCCGTCCGGAGGCAGGCCCACCGAGCCAGCAGGCTCCTCCGAGACCCTGACTGTCTGCGCGGAGGCGCCGTCCCCATGGGCCCGCCCGAGGCTGGTGGACGCCGTTTCCGGGGCCGTCGGACCCCGGAGCGTGAGCGCCCGGCCCGCACCCCAGCACACCGGGCGCCTCGGACCCGTGCCGGCTCCCGGAGCCGGACTGTCTGAAGCCGCTTCGTGTGTGTGTGTGTGTGTGTGTGTGTGTGTGTATGAGTGTGTGTGTGTGTGTGTGTGTGAGTGTGTATGAGTGTGTGTGCGTGTGTGTGTATGTGAGTGTGTGAGAGTGTGTATGAGTGTGTGTGTGCCGTGTGTGTGTGCGTTGTGTGAGTGTGTGTGTGTATGAGTGTGTGTGCTGTGTGTGTGTGTGTGTGAGTGTGTATGAGTGTGTGTGTGAGTGTGTGTGTGTATGTGAGTGTGTGTGTGTATGTGAGTGAGTGTGTGTGTATGTGTGCGTGTGAGTGTGTATGTGTGTATGAGTGTGTGTGTGCGCCGTGTGTGTATATGTGTGAGTGTGTATGTGTGTATGTGTATTTGTGTGTGTGTGCCGTGTGTGTGTGTGTGTGTATGAGTGTGTGTGTGTGAGTGTGTGTATGAGTGTGTGTATGTGTGTGTGTGTATGTATGTGTGTATGTGTATTTGTGTGTGTGTGAGTGTGTGCCGTGTGTGTGTGAGTGTGTGTATGAGTGTGTGTGTATGTGTGTGTGTGTATGTATGTGTGTATGTGTATTTGTGTGTGTGTGAGTGTGTGTGCCCCGTGTGTGTGTGTGTGTGTGTGTGTGTGCGCGCGCGCCGGGCGAGGGGCCGGCTCTGGGGCTCCTGGGCCGGGTGCGCTGTCGGTGGCTCACGCCCTCGGCCCCGCCACGTGTCCTGGGGCGAGGCCAGGGCCGCGGAGGCGGCTCATTGGGCAGCAGAGCCTGTGGCCAGGGAGGCCAGTGGGGCCTCGCTCGCTCCCTGCCGGGGCCGTGGCCAGAGGGAGGAGGTTGCCGGCACCTGGGCAGGGACAGGGGCCGAGCCTGGGCTCTGCGGCCCGGCTGGCTCTGTGCGAGCTGCTCGGCTCCGCTGTTGTCATTGCGGCCACATGCCCGGCCGTGAGGCTCAGTGGTGAGCGTCCACCTAGGAGCCAGGAGGTCAGGGTTCCATTCCCGGTGAGGGCACAGGCCTGCATGGCGGGCTGGATGCCAGTAGGGGGCATGCAGGAGGCAGCTGATCCATGATGCTCTCAGCCCCAGCCACCCCCAGCCCCAGCCCCAGCCCCAGCCCCAGCCCCAGCCCCAGCCCCAGCCCCAGCCCCAGCCCCAGCCCCAGCCCCCGCCGCAGCTGCTGCTGGTTCTGCTGCTTCTCTGGGCCGGGGGCGGAGACACAGCTGAGGCCCAGCTGCTCCCAGGGAGGAAAGGCCGGGGGTCCAGACCCCAAACCACAGGACCGGGATGTGCGGGGGGGGGGGGGGGGGGGGGGGGGTCCCTGGGCGAGGTCCCGCCCACAGCGGACTGTCCGGAGGCCTGGGCTCTGCCCGCCCGGGCGCCTCCCGGACCTGCCCCTGTCCCTGCTCGGCTCCGCCCGCCCGGCTCCCCACAGCGGCTCCCTCGGGAGGGGGAGGGTCTGCTGCTCGGACGGGGGTGTTGACGGCCACGCGGCTATTTTAAGACGTGTTTGTAAAGTGCGCCTGTTGCTGGCGGACATGGAGATAAGCCGGCTTCCTTCCTGGCCTTTGCCCGGCTGAGTCCCCGGCCAAGACCACCCGCCACCCGCCCGCCCGTCTGCTCCTCGCAACGCCCGCTCCGGGGCTGGCCAGCTCCCGCCCCGTCTGGGGGGGAAGGGTTTGATAAGAGGGGGCGTCGTCCAACCCAGAGCCACCCCCTCCCCCCAGGGAGCTCACGCCTCCGGGAGGGGGGTGCCAGGGCAGCTGGTGAGCCAGCTGTGGCCTGAGGTGTGAGGCGCGGCTCAGGGGTGGAGCCTCGACCTGGGGGCCAGGAGGTCCGGGTTCGATTCCCGGTCGGGGCACAGGCCCGGGTGGCGGGCTCATCCCCGGGGGGGGGCGTGCAGGAGGCAGCCGGTCCGTGATCCTCTCTCTTCACGGATGTTTCTCTCCCTCTCCCTCTCCCTTCCTCTCTGACATCAGTAAAAATATATATATTTAAAAAATCAGTGTCTCATAAAAAGGGTAGGCGGTGCTGTGGGGAGACAGCATATGTTTGCGGTCCATGATTCTCTCTCAGCACTGATGTTTCTCCCTCTCCCTCCCGCTCTGAGATCAATAGATACATAAAAAAGAAAAAGAAGCCCATGAAACGTGGGGGGATCTGGAAGGAGTGGCCGCTGAGCCCTTTGGTGGGGTGACCCCATCATTGCACCACAGCCACCCCTCTCCCCCCACACCCCGTGGTGTCTGGGCCCCAGACTCCTCGTCCACATTCGGACTGAGGTGCTCCCCACGGCCCCCCAGCTCCCCACCCCACTCCCAGCCTGTGGCCTTCACCCCCAGCACAGGGGTAGGGCCATCCGTCTCTGTGGTCCCGGCCCTGCCCCCAGCCAGACAGGACCTTCCTGGACAAAGGTGAGGGTCGGGCTGCGGCGGCCTCTCACTTAGGCCCTCACTCGGAGTGAGGGAAGCCAGGACAATCCAGGGCTTGGCGCGGCTGCGGGGGGCTGCGGGGGGGCTGCGGGGGGCTGCGGCGCGGCTGCGGGGGCTGCGGGGGCTGCGGGGGGGCTGCGGCGCGGCTGCGGGGGGGGCTGCGGGGGGCTGCGGCGCGGCTGCGGGGGGCTGCGGGGGGCTGCGGGGGGGGCTGCGGGGGGCTGCGGCGCGGCTGCGGGGGGGCTGCGGGGGGCTGCGGGGGCTGCGGCGCGGCTCCGGGGGGCTGCGGGGGGCTGCGGGGGGCTGCGGGGGGGGCTGCGGGGGGCTGCGGCGCGGCTGCGGGGGCTGCGGGGGGCTGCGGGGGGGCTGCGGCGCGGCTGCGGGGGGCTGCGGCGCGGCTGCGGGGGGCTGCGGGGGGCTGCGGGGGGCTGCGGCGCGGCTGCGGGGGGCTGCGGGGGGGCTGCGGGGGGGGCTGCGGCGCGGCTGCGGGGGGGGCTGCGGGGGGCTGCGGCGCGGCTGCGGGGGGCTGCGGGGGGCTGCGGGGGGCTGCGGCGCGGCTGCGGGGGGCTGCGGGGGGCTGCGGCGCGGCTCCGGGGGGGCTGCGGGGGGCTGCGGGGGGCTGCGGGGGGCTGCGGGGGCTGCGGGGGGGGCTGCGGGGGGATGCGGCGCGGCTGCGGGGGGCTGCGGGGGGCTGCGGGGGGCTGCGGCGCGGCTGCGGGGGCTGCGGCGCGGCTGCGGGGGGCTGCGGCGCGGCTGCGGGGGGGGGCTGCGGGGGGGCTGCGGCGCGGCTGCGGGGGGCTGCGGCGCGGCTGCGGGGTGGTTGCGGCGCGGCTGCGGGGGGCTGCGGCGCGGCTGCGGGGGGGGCTGCGGGGGGCTGCGGGGGGGCTGCGGCGCGCTGCGGGTGGGCTGCGGGGGGCTGCGGGGGGCTGCGGGGGGCTGCGGGGGGGCTGCGGCGCGGCTGCGGGGGGGCTGCGGCGCCGCGATGCGGGGGGCTGCGGGGGGCTGCGGCGCGGCTGCGGGGGGCTGCGGGGGGGCTGCGGGGGGCTGCGGGGGGGGATGCGGCGCGGCTGCGGGGGGGGCTGCGGGGGGGCTGCGGCGCGGCTGCGGGGGGCCTGCGGGGGGCTGCGGGGGGGGCTGCGGGGGGCTGCGGCGCGGCTGCGGGGGCTGCGGGGGGATGCGGGGGCTGCGGGGGGCTGCGGCGGCTCCGGGGGGGCTGCGGGGGGCTGCGGGGGGCTGCGGGGGGGCTGCGGGGGGCTGCGGCGCGGCTGCGGGGGCTGCGGGGGCTGCGGGGGGCTGCGGCGCGGCTGCGGGGGGCTGCGGCGCGGCTGCGGGGGGTTGCGGCGCGGCTGCGGGGGGCTGCGGCGCGGCTGCGGGGGGGGCTGCGGGGGGCTGCGGGGGGGCTGCGGCGCGGCTGCGGGGGGGGCTGCGGGGGGCTGCGGGGGGCTGCGGGGGGGCTGCGGGGCGGCTGCGGCGCGGCTGCGGCGCGGCTGCGGGCGGCTGCGGGGGGGGCTGCGGGGGGGCTGCGGGGGGCTGCGGGGGGGCTGCGGGGGGGGTCATGTGGTGAAGAGCTGAGAACAGCTCCGGCCGGTGTGCCTCAGTGGATAGAGCATTGGCCTGTAGACAGAAGGGTCCTGGGTTCAATTCTGGTCAAGGGCCCATGCGCTGGTTGCAAGCTAGATCCCCAGGAGGGGATGTGCAGTTGGCAGCCGACCGCGATTCTCTCTTGTCATGGATGTTTCTATTCCTCTCTCCCTCTCCCTTCCTCTCTTTAGTCAATAAGACACACGTGTGCGCATGTGCGCGCACACACACATACACACACACACACACACACACACGCACACACACACACGCATAGCCAGATTCCCCATTCACTCTCATTGTGCAATTGTGCAGACCCCTCTCCGCCAGCCATGGGGGATGTGGGGGCTCCGTGGCTGTGACTCCGTGGCGGCTCCATGGCGTGGCGGTGTGGGGGCTCCGTGGCTCCGTGGCGTGGCGGTGTGGGGCTCCGTGGCGTGGCGGTGGGGGGGCTCCGTGGGGGGCTCCGTGGCGTGGCTCCGTGACGTGGCGGTGTGGGGCTCCGTGGCTCCGTGGCGTGGCGGTGGGGGGCTCCGTGGCTCCGTGGCGTGGCGGGCGTGGGGCTCCGTGGCTCCGTGGCGTGGCGGGCGTGGGTCCTGGAGCCTCCTCACGGGGTCTGCTCGCCCCCAGAACGTGCGCATCGACCCCAGCAGCCTGACCTTCAAAGTGTGGAAGGACCTGCCGGTGCCCTTCTACCTCTCCATCTACCTGTTCGACGTGCTCAACCCCAAGGAGGTGCTGGTGGGCCGCCAGCCGCAGGTGCGGGAGCTCGGGCCCTACGTGTACAGGTGAGCGGCGGCGGGCGGCGGGCGGCGGCGGGCGGCGGGCGGGGCGGGCGGGGCGGCGGGCGGGGCGGGCAGGGCGGCGGGCGGGGCGGCGGGCGGGGCGGGCGGGGCGGCGGGCGGCGGGCGGCGGGCGGGGCGGCGGGCGGGCGGCGGGGCGGCGGGCAGGGCGGCGGGCGGGGCGGCGGGCGGGGCGGGCGGGGCGGCGGGCAGGGCGGCGGGCGGGGCGGCGGGCGGGGCGGCGGGCAGGGCGGCGGGCAGGGCGGGCAGGGCGGCGGCGGGCGGCGGGCAGGGCGGGCAGGGCGGGCAGGGCGGCGGCGGGCAGGGCGGGCAGGGCGGCGGCGGGCAGGGCGGGTGGCGGCGGGCAGGGCGGCGGACAGGGCGGCGGGCAGGGCGGGCAGGGCGGGCAGGGCGGCGGGCGGACCGGGCAGGGCGGGCGGCGGCGGGCAGGGCGGCGGGCAGGGCGGCGGGCGGGGCGGCGGGCAGGGCGGCGGGCAGGGCGGGCGGCCTGCCCAGCCCCCAGCTGGCTCCGGAGGCAGGCCCTGCCTCTGGGACCCCGCGGGCCGGGGGGGCGCTGGCTGGTTCTGGTCACCAGGGGGACGCTCAGCAGCTGTGCCCCAGGTTCGGGAGTCAGAAACTCCAGTCAGAGTCCGGGCCAGATTCACTCGCTCCCTCATTCATTCATTCCCTCACTCACTCACCCACTCATCCACTCATTCACTTGCTCCTTCATCCATTCACTCCCTCATTCATTCATTCACTCATTTAATCATTCAGCCATCCAATCATTCAGTCATCCAATCATTCACCCACTCCCTCATCCAATCACTCACTCATTCATTTATTCATCCATCCACTCATTCACTCTCTCATCCATCACTTATTCATTCACTCATCCACTCATTCACTCACTCATTCATTCATTATTCACTCAGATACTCCTCCACTAATTTATTCATTCTCTCATTGCTTCACTCGCTCATTCACTCCCTCATCCAATCATTCACTCATTCTTCACTCAGTTATTCCTTCACTCATTTATTCATTCACTCACTCTTCCACTAATTTATTCATTCATTGTTTCACTTGCTCATTTACTCACTCACTCATTCATTATCCACTCTGCAATCATTCATTCACTCATTCATCCACCATTTACTCATTAATTCGTTCGCTCATTGGGTCACTCACTCATTCATTTGCTCATTCAGTCATTGATCCAATAACTCATTCATTCACTCATTTACTCATTCGCTTACCCATTTACTCATTGATCGTTCACTCACTGATTCACTCATCCACTCATCTACTCATTTATTGATTCGTTCACTCATTCTTCCGACAAACGTCTGTTGGGCACTGAGTGGATTTCTGTGGCTGTTCTAGGCACAGGGAACCCCAAAATGGACAGAAAGCACTGAGGGGGGAGGGGGTCCCCAGGTCAGTGTCTGGGGAGGGGGTCCCCGGGTCAATGTGGGGGGAGGGGTCCCAGGTCAGTGTGGGGAGGGGGTCCCCGGGTCAATGTGGGGGGAAGGGGTGCCCGGGTCAGTGTGGGGGGAGGGGTCCCCAGTCAGTGTGGGGGAGGGGTCCCCGGTCAGTGTGGGGAGGGGGTTTAGGCCTGAGATGACGGCGGGGGGGGTCTCGGACAAGGTGACGGGGACAGGGCCCGGCGGAGGCGGACTGGCGGGGGGGCCTGCGGGCTTTGGGGCGCCCTCCCAGGCGGGCGGGGGGCCTCGCCGGCGGGAGGACGGACCTGGGGCGGCAGGCTCGGCTCGGGCTGCGGGGAGCCGTGCAGACACCAGGGCAGGCCCAGGGGGAGCCTGCAGGAAGCCAGGCGTGACCCCCCCCCCCCGCAGGGAGTTCCGGCACAAGAGCAACATCACCTTCAACGACAACGACACCGTGTCCTTCCGGGAGTACCGCCACTTCCAGTTCCAGCCGCACATGTCCCGCGGCTCGGAGAGCGACTACGTCAGCATGCCCAACGTCCTGATGATGGTGCGCCCGCCGCCGGCCGCCCCGGCCCGCCCGCCGGCCCCGCCCCGGCCCGCCCGCCCGCTCCAGCTAAACCCCGCCCCTCCCAGCCCCGCCCCGCCGGCCCCGCCCCGCCCCGCCGGCCCCGCCCCGGCCCGCCCGCCCGCTCCAGCTAAACCCCGCCCCTCCCGGCCCCGCCCCGCCGGCCCCGCCCCGGCCCGCCCGCCCGCTCCAGCTAAACCCCGGCCCGCCCAGCCCAGCCCGGCCCAGCCCGGCCCGCCCCTGCTAACCCCGGCCTGTCCCGCCCCGGGCCCGCCCAGCCCCTGCTAAACCCCGCTCGCCACGCCCAGGCACCGCCACGCCCCCATATGCCCCACCCAGGCCCCGCCCCTATCAAGCCCCGCCCGCCACGCCCCTATGCCACGCCCAGTCCCGCCCGCCTGAGCCCGCTGCCCTGCCCGCAGAGCTCGGCCATGATGGCGGAGAAGAAGTCGATGGCGCTGAAGATGCTGATGACCTTGGGCTTCTCCAGCCTGGGCCAGCATGCCTTCATGAACCGCACGGTGGGCGAGGTCATTTGGGGCTACAGCGACCCCCTCATCAGCCTCATCAACCACATCCTGCCGGGCATGCTGCCGCTCAAGGACAAGTTCGGGCTGTTCGCGGAGGTGCGCCAGGGAGGCCCGCCCCGTCCGCCCCGCCGCCGGCGTCCGTGGCAACTGTGACTGTTGTCAGTGTGGAGACGGTGGGCCCGGGGCCGCGGGGTCCCCGGCAGACACCTAGCTCCTCAGGGCCCTGAAAACCCACAGGCGGGCTCAGGCACGGCTTGGTCCAGGCTCCCTGGTGTGATTGGGTGGATGGATGGGAGCAGGCAGGTCACACATGGCGACGACAGCTCTGATCCGAGCTGCCTGGTGTGTCTTTTTTCTGTTTTTTTTCCAAATATGATTCTGTGGGTTTCAGGGAGCGGTGGCAACATGGATCCTGCACGCCCCCTACTGGGGATCGAGCCCGCCGCCCAGGCACGGGCCCTGGCCCGGGGTCAGACTGGCGCTCCCCTCGTCCCCGGCGCTGGGGCAGCCCGGGCCTCCCGCTGCGAGGCCTGAAGCTGCTGCCCTCTGCTGTGCCCGCAGTTTAACAACTCCGACTCCGGGCTCTTCACCGTGTTCACCGGCGTCAAAGACTTCAGCCGCGTCCACCTCGTGGACAAGTGGAACGGGATCAGCAAGGTGCGAGCCGGGCGCAGCGGGCCCCACAGCCCGGCCCCGCCCCACAGCCCGGCCCCGCCCCCCCACAGCCCGGCCCCGCCCCACAGCCCGGCCCCGCCCACACACAGCCTGGCCCGCCCCCCACAGCCCGGCCCCACCCCACAGCCCGGCCCTGCCCCCCACACAGCCCGGCCCCGCCCACACACAGCCCGGCCCGCCCCCCACAGCCCGGCCCCGCCCACACAGCCCGGCCCGCCCCCCACAGCCCGGCCCCGCCCTCACAGCCCGGCCCCGCCCCACAGCCCTGCCCCGCCCACAGCCCGGCCCCGCCCCACAGCCCCGCCCACAACGCCCGGCCCCGCCCACCCCGGCCAGCAGTGTCCTCTCCTGCCACCCAGACAGCTAGAAGTGCGGCCGGCCCCTCCACTCACACCCAGCCCGGGCGCCTGAGCCCTGGAAGCCGGGTCATGAGCCCCGCCGCCTGGCCTTCCCGCCCGGCCTTCCCGCGCCCCGGCCTTCCCGCGCCCCGGCCTTCCCGCCGCCCGGCCTTCCCGCGCCCCGGCCTTCCCGCGCCCCGGCCTTCCCGCCGCCCGGCCTTCCCGCGCCCCGGCCTTCCCGCCGCCCGGCCTTCCCGCGCCCCGCCCTTCCCGCGCCCCGGCCTTCCCGCGCCGCGTGCCGCTCACCTTCCGCTCTGGGCTCCCCCAGGTCAACTACTGGCACTCGGACCAGTGTAACATGATCAACGGCACGTCCGGGCAGATGTGGGCGCCGTTCATGACTCCCAAGACGGACGTGGAGTTCTTCAGCCCCGAGGCCTGCCGGTGAGCCCGCGGGCCTGGCGGAGAGTGTGGGCTCCCCGGTTCGCCAGCTTCGCGTCCCACACGGCTCGTTGGTTGCACCTGGAGGAGCCAGGCTCCGGCTGCAGCAGCTGGTGCGGGGACAGGGCGGGGGAGCTGGTGCGGGGACAGGGAGGGGGAGCTGGTGCGGGGACAGGGAGGGGGAGCTGGGGCGGGGACAGGGAGGGGGAGCTGCAGGGACAGGGAGGGGGAGCTGCAGGGATAGGGAGGGGGAGCTGGTGCGGGGACAGGGAGGGGGAGCTGCACGGACAGGGAGGGGGAGCTGGTGCGGGGACAGGGAGGGGGAGCTGCAGGGACAGGGAGGGGGAGCTGCAGGGATAGGGAGGGGGAGCTGGTGCGGGGACAGGGAGGGGAAGCTGCACGGACAGGGAGGGGGAGCTGCAGGGACAGGGAGGGGGAGCTGCACGGACAGGGAGGGGGAGCTGCAGGGACAGGGAGGGGGAGCTGGTGCGGGGACAGGGAGGGGGAGCTGGGGTGGGGACAGGGAGGGGGAGCTGGTGCGGGGACAGGGAGGGGGAGCTGGGGCGGGGACAGGGAGGGGGAGCTGGGGCGGGGACAGGGAGGGGGAGCTGGCGCGGGAACAGGGAGGGGGAGCTGGTGCACGGACAGGGAGGGGGAGCTGGGGCGGGGACAGGGAGGGGGAGCTGGTGCGGGGACAGGGAGGGGGAGCTGCACGGACAGGGAGGGGGAGCTGGGGCGGGGACAGGGAGGGGGAGCTGCAGGGACAGGGAGGGGGAGCTGCAGGGATAGGGAGGGGGAGCTGGTGCGGGGACAGGGAGGGGAAGCTGCATGGACAGGGAGGGGGAGCTGCAGGGACAGGGAGGGGGAGCTGCACGGACAGGGAGGGGGAGCTGCAGGGACAGGGAGGGGGAGCTGGTGCGAGGACAGGGAGGGGGAGCTGGGGTGGGGACAGGGAGGGGGAGCTGGTGCGGGGACAGGGAGGGGGAGCTGGGGCGGGGACAGGGAGGGGGAGCTGGGGCGGGGACAGGGAGGGGGAGCTGGCGCGGGAACAGGGAGGGGGAGGACTGGGGACAGGGAGGGGGAGCTGGGGCGGGGACAGGGAGGGGGAGGACTGGGGACAGGGAGGGGGAGCTGCAGGGACAGGGAGGGGGAGCTGCAGGGACAGGGAGGGGGAGCTGCAGGGACAGGGAGGGGGAGCTGGTGCGGGGACAGGGAGGGGAAGCTGCACGGACAGGGAGGGGGAGCTGCAGGGACAGGGAGGGGGAGCTGCACGGACAGGGAGGGGGAGCTGCAGGGACAGGGAGGGGGAGCTGGTGCGGGGACAGGGAGGGGGAGCTGGGGTGGGGACAGGGAGGGGGAGCTGGGGCGGGGACAGGGAGGGGGAGCTGGGGCGGGGACAGGGAGGGGGAGCTGGGGCGGGGACAGGGAGGGGGAGCTGGCGCGGGAACAGGGAGGGGGAGGACTGGGGACAGGGAGGGGGAGCTGGGGCGGGGACAGGGAGGGGGAGGACTGGGGACAGGGAGGGGGAGCTGGGGCGGGGACAGGGAGGGGGAGCTGGCGCGGGGACAGGGAGGGGGAGCTGGTGCGGGGACAGGGAGGGGGAGCTGGTGCACGGACAGGGAGGGGGAGCTGGGGCGGGGACAGGGAGGGGGAGCTGGTGCGGGGACAGGGAGGGGGAGGACTGGGGACAGGGAGGGGGAGCTGCAGGGACAGGGAGGGGGAGCTGGTGCGGGGACAGGGAGGGAGCTGGTGCGGGGACAGGGAGGGGGAGCTGGTGCACGGACAGGGAGGGGGAGCTGGTGCGGGGACAGGGAGGGAGCTGGTGCGGGGACAGGGAGGGGGAGCTGGCGCGGGGACAGGGAGGGGGAGCTGGTGCGGGGACAGGGAGGGGGAGCTGGTGCAGGGGACAGGGAGGGGGAGCTGGTGCGGGGACAGGGAGGGGGAGCTGCACGGACAGGGAGGGGGAGCTGCAGGGACAGGGAGGGGGAGGACTGGGGACAGGGCAGGGACCGGGGGGGGGACGGGTCTCTGGCCCTCAGAGTGGTGTCCTGGCTGGGACCCAGGCCAGTGTGCCCCCGGGGGTCAGAGCGGGAGGGGATGGTGCTGTGTGTATCCACTTTTTACATTTTATTTTATTTTATTTTTAAAGTATTTTTTAATTGATGTCAGAGAGGAGGGAGCGGGAGAGAGAAGCAGCCACGGTGAGTCAGGGGCCGGCAGCTGCTGCTGTGGCAATGCCGCGCCGGCTCACCCGCCCGTCTGCCCAGGTCCATGAAGCTCATCTACCAGGAGGCCGGGGCGTACGAGGGCATCCCCACCTTCCGCTTCAAGGCCCCCGACACCCTGTTTGCCAACGGGTCCGTCTACCCGCCCAACGAGGGCTTCTGCCCGTGCCTGAAGAATGGCATCCAGAACGTCAGCACCTGCAAGTTCAGTGCGTGTCCTCGCCCTGACCCTGACCCTGACCCCTGACCCCTGACCCAGGCGGGGGGCGGTCACTGGGCCCTGTGACCTCAGGCTCTCGCTGAGCCGGTCGGCCGCAGAAAGGCCATCTGAAAGAAGGAAGCCCTTAGTAATAATTCCCACGAGCTCCGAGACCTGGGACTCGAACCCTGACCGTAGACAGCTCTGTGGCGCCGAGTCCCGGGCCAGGTCTCCGAGCCGCCCTGCGGCCGCGGCCTTGACCTTCATGGAGTCCAGGGCCCAGGGCGGGGGCATCCGGGCGGGTGCCCACCGCAGGGGGCTCCCGGGGCCCCGGGTGGGAAGGGGCCGGATCGTTCCGGAACGCCTCGCCGAGGCCCTGCCTCGCCCTTCGCTCCTGCGGGTGGATCAGGGGGCGCTCTCTGCTTTCCCTCTCTGCCCGGCCTCTGCCCGTCTCCCAGAGGCCCGTCCCTGTGGCCACGGGGGCGGCACCTCTTCCTGGCTGCAGAGTGCTCCCCGGCCGCTCCTCGGCTCCTCGCCTGTCCCGCTCTCGGCGCTGGTCCCGGGTTCGAAGGTGTGATCTCGGGCGGCAGGGACCATGCGTGTCTGGGTGCGTGCACTCCGCCTCCTGTGGGTTTATCTGGGGATAAGACGGCCGCAGCCTCCCTTCCCTGAGCCCCCCCTTCCAGCCCGATCGCAGTCCCGGTGATTAGATACGTCGCCATAAAGCTGTAAATTAATTAGCACTTGCACCTGGGCGGTTCTCGGGGCTGTTTGGTGCTGGCCAAGTGCCAGGCGGCTCACTGTCCGCAGCCGGGGCGGGAGCCGGGCAGGTGCGGGGGCAGGTGCAGGGGCAGGTGTGGGGGCAGGTGCGGGGGCAGGTGCGGGGGCAGGTGTGGGGGCAGGTGCAGGGCAGAGCAGAGGCAGGTGTGGGGGCGGGAGCCGGGCAGGTGCAGGGGCGGGTGCTGGGGCGGGAGCCAGGGCAGGTGCGGGGGCAGGTGTGGGGGCAGGTGCGGGGGCAGGTGCAGGGACAGGTGTGGGGGCGGGAGCCGGGCAGGTGCAGGGGCGGGTGCTGGGGCGGGAGCCAGGGCAGGTGCGGGGGCAGGTGTGGGGGCAGGTGCGGGGGCAGGTGCAGGGGCAGGTGTGGGGGCAGGTGCAGGGGCGGGTGCTGGGGCGGGAGCCAGGGCAGGTGCGGGGGCAGGTGTGGGGGCAGGTGCGGGGGCAGGTGCAGGGGCAGGTGTGGGGGCAGGTGCAGGGGCAGGTGTGGGGGCGGGAGCCGGGCAGGTGCAGGTGCGGGTGCTGGGGCGGGAGCCAGGGCAGGTGTGGGAGCAGGTGCAGGGGCAGGTGTGGGGGTGGGTGATGGCACCCTGGCGCCACCCACTGCGCTCCCCGGGCCCTGGAGGCGTGGCACCTCCAGGTGGGGCCGGCGGGGGCCGCCTCCCTCGGCAGAGCCGGGTGGAGCCCTGTGGAAGTGGGGCCCGGCCTTTGCTGACGGCCGCCCAGGTGCAGACGGGAAGGTGGGGCCTCCCAGGAGGACCAGGGCCCACAGGGAGGAGGCTGTGTCTGTGCTCTGTCTGTCTGTCTGTCTGTCTGACCACCTCCAGGAGGAAGTGTCTGCTGGTGCGCATCTGTCTTTTCTGTGACTCTCACCGGAGCGGTTCCTGGCTTTGGAGAGAGGGAGGGAGGGAGAGGCAGAGCGAGCGCCGCTGTGAGAGGCGGGTCGGGGGCTGCCTCCCGCCTGCTCCAGCCGGGCGGGCATGGGACCGGCCACCCAGCACACCGCCAGTGAGCGCCCGGCCAGGCTCCGCGGGGGTGCGCAGCCTCGGCCCTCCCTCCGGGCGGCCCCCGACCAGACCGGCTGCCGGCCGGAGCGCAGGTGTGCCCTCCCCACGGCGGCGGACACTGGCTGCCGTGCACGGAGCCCGGACCCTGGCTGCCTGGCTGGGCGATGCTCCCCCTCACATCCCTCTGCTCCTCCACACCGCCTGCGCCCCAGCCTCCCCCTCCCGCTCGCCCCCGCACCCCTGCCTCCTGGGATGCCACCCCGCCCTCTGCCATCGGCCTCCGCCTGGTGCCTCCTCCTCCTCCCTCAGAAGGTCCCCACGTCCCCCTTCCCCTGGCACAGAGCGCGCCCCCTGCTGGCTTCCAGCCCGAATGGCGGGACCCCTCTGCCTAGTCATTGTCGTTGGCTTCCTGTCATCCTCACGGCACCCGCTACGGCTGCGTGTCCGCGTCCTGCACCCCGTCCGGCTCCGGGCCTGGCATGAAGCCTCAGGACGTGTCAGCGCCCTCTGCCCTCCGCCCCGTCTGCCCCTCTGCCCTCCGCCCCCTCTGCCTCTGCCTGTCCGATGCCCTCTCCCTGTCCTCTGCCCCATCTGCCCCCTCTGCCTCTGCCCCATCTGCCCCCTCTGCTTCTGCCTGTCCTCTGCCCCCTCTGCCTCTGCCTCTGCCTCTGCCTGTCCGATGCCCCCTCTGCCTGTCCGATGCCCCCTCTGCCTCTGCCTCTGCCTGTCTGACGCCCCCCCTCCTCTCCTTCCAGACGCGCCCCTGTTCATCTCGCACCCGCACTTCTACAATGCGGACCCCTCCCTGGCCGAGGCCGTGCAGGGCCTGCACCCCAGCGAGAAGGAGCACTCCCTGTTCCTGGACGTGCACCCGGTGGGCCTGCGGCAGCCGGGGCTTCTGGGGGTTCTGCTGGCTCCCGCCTGCCCCTCCCCGCACAGGCGGGGGGAGGGATGGGGGAGCAGATGCCGGCTCTGGCTTGGGCAGCTCCTGGGACATCACACCGCCAAGGTCTCTCCTTTGCTCAGACTCCATAGTTCAGGATGTGCTATCTGGCCGGCAGGCGGGGTGTCTGCAGAAGGGTCATAAGACAGTAAATTAATTAGGATTATCAGCTGCCAATTACGAGGCCTCAGCCTCTAGGTGCCAGCCTGGCCCTGGTGCCCGGCAGATAAGTGCCATCTGGGGAATTCCAGCGAGAGCGAGGTCCCTGTGCTCACTTCTGTGGGTGGGTCTCCCTCCCGCCCCCACCCTGAGCACCAGGCAGGTCCGTCCGGGGGGAGGGGGAGGCTCCCAGCTGCGCGGCAGCACCAGGCCGGCCTCTCCAGGGCAGCGTGGAAGCCGGAGAGGCCTCTGGCTGTCCCGTTGCCTGGCGCCGGGGAGCAGGGTCGGGGGCTGCCGGCTCGGCACCGGCCGGCCGGCCCTCACCGTGTGCTCCTGCAGGTCACGGGGATCCCCATGAACTGCTCGGTGAAGCTGCAGGTCAGCCTGTACATGAAGGCCATCCAGGGCATCGGGTGAGTGGCTGTCAGAGGCTCCGGCCTGCGGGCACCGGCCCTGGCTGTGGCCGTCGCTCCCCAAAGGGATCCTAGCTCTGCCCCAGGCCCCGCCGCCCCCTCCCGCGTCCGCCCCCAGACAGGAGTGTCTGCTGAGCCCTGCCTGGCGCCCAGCGAGGGGCAGAAACAAGACTGGGGCAAAACCGAGGTTCACAAGGCAACCGTCACCCAGCGCCCTCACCTGGCCCCTCATCCGGAGAGGCTTTTTAAAGCACCGACTTGTTTTTATTTCTTAAAACGTATTTTGATTGATTTCAGAGAGGGAGAGGGAGGGAGGAGAAACATCGTGATGAGAGAGAGTCGTGGATCGGCTGCCTCCTGCACGCCTGACCCAGCCTGCACCCGCCTGACGGGGAACCAACCCTGACCTCCTGGTTCCTGGGTCGACGCTCCAGCACAAGACAGGCCGGCCCGGCTCTTTCTTACTATTTTTTTTTAATAACAGCTTTATCAAGATTTGATTCTCACGCCATCAGACCCCACCCTGTGATTCAGGTGCAGTGCCATTCAGTGCCTGTAGCATGTCCACCCCGACTGGCACCCGGCTGTTTCTGGTCGGGGCCCTTGTGACTCAGGCTGTGGCCGTGGGCGGACCGAAGGCCGTGGGGGACCAGTAGCCGTGGGCGGGCCGAAGGCCGTGGCAGACAGGCTCCCGTGGGCTCGGCTCCCAGGCGGACACCTGGGAGAGAACTGCTGAGTCGGGGCCTCTGCGCCAGCGTTTGGGGAACTGCAGGCGGTTCCCACGGCGGCTGCTCTCCCACCAGCCGGGGGAGGTGCGGGCTCTGGCTGTGACCGGACCGTGTGACCCGGCCCAACCCCCATCCAGGGTGTATTTTTGTGGATTTCGGAGAGGAAGGGAGAGAGAGAGAGAAAATCAGTGAGGAGAGCACATCATTGGTCGGCGGCCTCCTGCAGGCCCCACATTGGGGATCCTGCAACCCGGCCGTGTCCTGATGGGACTGAACCGTGACCTCCTGGTTCCTGGGCCAGCGCTCAGCCCTGAGCCACCTGGCCAGGGATCGAACCCGCAACCTTGTGAGAGCCCGGCCTGGGACATTTTTTCCATTGATTTTTAGAGAGCATGGAAGGGAGGGAGGGGGAAGAGGAGAGAGAGAAGCATCCACGTGAGAGACCCATCCAGTGGCTGCCTCCCCCGCACCCAACCGGGGGAGGCGGGAATTGACCTGCAACCCGCCAGGTGCGTGCCCTTGAGCGGGGATGGAACCCAGGACCCCGGGGGCCGCACCGGGCTTTCGTTGGCCCAAATGGAGGCTGCTCTCCTGATCCTTCTGGGCTCCTGTGTCCCAGTGAACAGGAGGGGCCGGTGTCCCCGCCACTGGGACAGCTTTCTCAGGGGCTTGGCGCCCCCTGGAGGCGCAGGGGGACGGCGCGGGGACTCCGGGCTGCCTGCCGGAGCCTGTCCCTGAAGTCTCTGCACCCAACTCCGATCCGCTCTGGAAACATGTGTCCTCGGGGGCTGCCGGGCAGGGCGCGGCGCGCCCCCTGCTGGCGGAGTCAGAAAGTCCGAAAGGATGATAATGGCCGAAGCAGAGCACCGCGCGGGCCGTTTTCTTTTTTAAAACATTTTCATTGACTTCAGAGGGAGGAAGGGGGAGAGGCATCAGTGAGGAGAGAGAATCATGGGCCGGCTGCCTCCTGCCCACCCGCACTGGGAACCGAGCCTGGCCCTGAGCGGAATCGAACCCTGGCCTCCTTCATGGGCGATGCTCAGCCACGGAGCCCGCCCGCGGCGCGCTGTGAGGGTTTGTTCGTTTGTTTGCTTTTCTCCATTTCCTTCTGAAGCTCCTACCGATAGACATTATTGTGGTTCAGCGGCTCCCTGCGGGGAATAGGAGACGCCCCCCCAGCCCCGCCGGAGCCGGAGCCCAGAGCACCCCGCCCCCCGTGTCCCGCGCGTCCCCCAGTCCGAGCCCCACGGAGAACCAGGGCGTCTCACCGGCCTGTCCCACCCCCAGGCAGACCAGGCAGATCGCGCCCGTGGTGATGCCCCTGGTGTGGTTCGAGGAGGTAAGACCCGCTCCTTGTGCAGTGCACCGAGGGGGCGGCCGGCACTGGAGGCCGGAGGGCGCGGGGCCAGGGAGCCCACGGGGGGCCTAGAGCGACCCAGGGAAACCTCACAGGCTACGCGCAGGAGCTGCCCCGGGCGGGAGGCCCAGCCTGGGCCCTGAGACCCAGCCCGGGGCCCTGAGGCCCAGCCCGGGGCGGGGAGGCCCAGCCCGGGGCCCTGGGACCCAGCCCGGGGCGGGGAGGCCCATCCCCGGGCCCTGGGACCCAGCCCGGGGCGGGGAGGCCCAGCACGGGGCCCTGGGACCCAGCCCGGAGCCGCTCTGAAGGCCCGGAGGCCTCCTCCCTCAGGGAGCTGGTTTCAGGCGTCGCTCCAGGGGGACATCTTTCCTCCGGCTTCCCAGGGAAAGAGAGCAATGTTGAGCGGTTCCATTCGTTGGTTGGGATCGAACCCGCAACCTCGGCGTATCGAGAGACACTCACAAACTGAGCTGCCCCAGCCAGTTCATTTTAATCCTCATCCGAGAATGTTTTCCCATTGATTTTATTTTTATTTTTATTTTGAGAGAGTGGAAGGGAAGGAAGGGGAGAGAGAGAGAAACATGGATGCGAGAGAGACATGGTGCCTTCTGCACGTGCCCCAACCAGGGCCGGGATCACACCTGCAACCCCGGGGCACACCCTTGACCAGGAATCGAACCCTCTAACCATGGAGCCACACGACCGGGGCCTGACCTCGCTCATTTTAAACCAGGGCGATCGCATGCCCAGCTGGGGTGGCTCAGGGGATGAGCATCAACCCATGGACCAGGAGGTCAGGGTTCGATTCCCGGCCAGGGCCCAGGCCCGGGTTGTGGGCTCCATCCCCGGTGGGGGGGGTGCAGGAGGCAGCCGGTCCATGATTCTCTCTCCTCGTGGATGTCTCTCTCCCTCTGCCTTCCTCTCTGACATCAATAAAAGGATATTTTTTTAAAATCTAGAGTGAACTCAGGGCCAGAACAGGCAGCCTCAGAATGTCAAGGTCGCGGCCCAGTCGGACTTGGGCCCGGCTCCCCGCAGCCGTTGGGGCCGGCAGGCTCCTCTGTCCTGTGGGCCCCCCTCCCTGAGACCCTCAGAACCCGCCCGAGTTCGGGGGTGCGGACAGTGATGGGGAGAACGAGGCTTCACCAGCCAGGTGTGGAAGTGTATCACTGTGCCCTCGCCCCATTGGCCAGAATGAGGTCACATGACCCTGCCAACTGCAAGGGAGTCTGGGAAATGTAGTCTCCCTGTGGCCATGGAGGAAATGGAGGCCCCTGCAAGCTTGAGATGGGGGCGGGGTCTGGGGGGCAAGGATAGGGTCTGGGGGGCAGGGACGGGGTCGGGCAGGGACGGGGTCGGGGGGCAGGGGCGGGGTCTGGGGCAGGGGCGGGGTCTGGGGCAGGGGCGGGGTCGGAGGCTGGGTCGGGGGCGGGGTCGGGGGGCAGGGGCGGGGTCTGGGGGCAGGGACGGGGTCGGGGGCAGGGGCGGGGTCTGGGGGTCTGGGACGGGGTCGGGGGACAGGGACGGGGTCGGGGGTCTGGGACGGGGTCTGGGGCAGGGACGGGGTCGGGGGGGTCAGGGGCGGGGGGCAGGGACGGGGTCTGGGGCAGGGGCGGGGTCTGGGGGTCTGGGACGGGGTCGGGGGCAGGGTCGGGGGCAGGGACGGGGGCGGGGGCGGGGGGCGGGGTCGGGGGGCAGGGGCGGGGTCTGGGGCAGGGGCGGGGTCGGAGGCAGGGGCGGGGTCTGGGGCAGGGGCGGGGTCTGGGGGCCTGGGGCGGGGTCTGGGGGGCGGGGGGCAGGGGCGGGGTCGGGGCAGGGGCGGGGTCTAGGGGCGGGGTCGGGGGCAGGGACGGGGGCAGGGGCAGGGACGGGGTCTGGGGCAGGGGCGGGGTCTGGGGGTCTGGGACGGGGTCGGGGGGCTCAGGGGCGGGGGCGGGGGGCAGGCATGTGGCCCCGGGGCTCCGGGGTGGCCCCGGCCCACGGTGCCGTCCTGCCCCGCAGAGAGGGTCCATGGAGGGCGAGCCGCTGCAGGCGTTCTACCGGCAGCTGGTGCTGTTGCCCAAGGCGCTGCACTACGGCCAGTTCGTGCTCCTGGCGCTCGGCGGCCTCCTGCTGCTGGTCCCCATCGTCTACCAGATCCGCACCCAGGTGAGTGCCGGGCGGGGCCACCGCCCCGCCTCCGCCCGCGGCCCTGCGCCCCCGCGCCGGTCTGTGCGGGGCCGGCGCCGCACCTCCTGTCCTGCCGCCGCTTCTCAGGGGCAGACCCTGTCCCGGGAGACGGGACCGGCAGTAAGTCCTGGTGAGAAAGGCGGTGGCGGGCGGAGGGGCTAGGGCAGGGCCGCCCAGGAGGGACACGACTGGGCCACGTGCGCGATTTTAGTTCATTTTTAGTTTTTAATATGTTTTTATTGATTTCAGAGACGAAGGGAGAGAGAGAGAGATCAAGGATGAGAATCATGGACTGGCTGCCTCCTGCACGCCCCCCACTGGGGATCGAACCCACAACCCGGGGCTGTGCCCCGGCCGGGAGTGGAACTGTGACCTCCTCCTGGGTCACAGGCTGACGCTCCCCCGGGCCCCCGGCGGGGCTGTCGGAGGCTTTAGCGGGGGCAGGGCCGGGCGCCACAGAGCGGCCGGGGGTCATCGGCGGGAGGGGCAGACGCCGGGACCGTGGGCCAGGTGCCCGCAACCAAGGTACATGCCCTTGACAGGAATCGAACCCGGGACCTTTCAGTCTATAGGCCGATGCAAACGGTTTCGGCAGGATTTGCTTTTTATTTTTTAATTTTTATTTAATTTTTATCTTTCTTATTAAAAACGTTTTTTTTTTTTTTTTAAATATATTTTATTGATTTTGTACAGAGAGGAAGGGAGAGAGATAGAGAGTTAGAAACATCGATGAGAGAGAGTCATCGATCAGTTGCCTCTTGCACACCCCCTACTGGGGATATGCCCGCAACCAAGGTACATGCCCTTGACCGGAATCGAACCCGGGTCCCTTCAGTCCCCAAGCCGACGCTCTATCCATTGAGCTAAACCGGTCCCGGCTTATCTTTCTTATTAAATTATTATCTGTGTACATATCTTACCACTGAGGATTTGCTTTTTTAAAAAAGTGTTTTTATTGATCTTCAAGAGAGGGGAAGGGAGAGGGAGAGGGAGAGAGAAAAACATCGATCTGCACACCCCCTACTGGTGCGTAATCGGCAAGTCGGGCACGTGCCTGACCCGGAATCGAACCGGCGCCTCCTGGTGCGTGGATGGACGCTCAGCCACTGAGCCGCGCCCACCGGAGCCAGCGGAAGTCTTTCAGCAGAAAACCCCTGTTTCTGATGGATTCCCGGCCGATCCCTCCACCCCGATTCCTAAATTCTCACGTGAACACGCGCTTTTCAGTGTGGCCTGCCGACGCGCCGAGGAGTCCCCCGGACACGGGGCCTCCCCACACTCGGCCGCCCCCTCGCTCGGTGTGGGACCCTGGGACCCCGCGCCCTCCCCCGGCCTCCGGAACCTTCCGGGAGCAGCCGGACCCGCGCCCGCGCCTCCCGCCCGTAACCGCGCCGTCTCTTCCAGGAGCGGTGCCACCTGTTCTGGAGCCGCGATAAGGGCTCGCAGGACAAGGAGGCCATGCAGGCCTACTCCGAGTCCCTGATGACCACGGCCGCCAAGGGCACGGTGCTGCAGGAGGCCCGGCTGTAGGTGGGTACGGGCCGCCCGCCGCTGGGCAGAACCCGCACAGGCGGGCTGCGCCTCCTCCGCCTGAGCTCCCCGAGGCCCCGGCCCCGGCCCCGGTGCTGCTGTGCTCTGGGGTTCCCAGCCAAAGGCAGCATCCCCGCCCCCCCGCCCCCACACCCCCGGGCGCCCCGTGCTCTGTGGGCTGGCGTCTTACCTACCAGCTGCGAGGGCGAAGGAGGGGGACAGCGGCGGCCTCACCCTGGCCGGTGTGCTCGATGGTTAGCGCGTCGGCCCATGCACCTTAGGGTTGCAGGTTCAATCCCCGGTCAAGGGCATGCACCTGGGTTGCAGGTTTGATGGCAGGAGGCAGCCAGTCCAAGTGTCTCTCTCCCATCGATGTTTCTCACGTCCCCTCTCCCCTCCTTTCCACTCTCTCTCTTAAAAAAAAAAAAAAAAAATGGCCCCGGTGGTACGGCTCAGTGGTGAGCATCGACCTATGAACCAGGAGGTCATGGTTTGATCCCCGGTCAGGGGCATGCAGGAGGCAGCCGATCCAAGATTCCCTCTCGTCACTGATGTTTCTGCCTCTCTTTCTCTCCCTCTCTCTTCCTCTCCGAAATCAGTAGAAAAATATATATTTTTTAAATGTTTTAAAAAACCATTGGGAGCCCGGTGTGGCTCAGTGGATAGAGCATCAGCCTGAGGACTGAAGGGTCCCAGGTTCAATTCCGGTCAAGGGCATGGACCTTGGTTGCGGGCACATCCCCAGTGGGGGGCGTGCAGGAGGCAGCTGATCAATGTTTCTCTCTCATCGATGTTTCTAGCTCTCTCCCTCTCCCTTCCTCTCTGGAAAATCCATAAGATGTATTTTGCGATCGGTGGAGAATGTCCTCGGCTGAGGGTGAAGGAAGGACCTCTGCTCAGGGGCCTCTCCCGGGACAGCAGCTCCACCCTCCGGCTCCGCCCAGGGCCGGAGTCCGTGTGTCCGGGCCCAGGGGCCTCCGGCCCGGCAGGCAGTGACCGGGCGGGCGTCCGGGAAACCCGCTGCAGCCCCGGGCACGGAACCGGGGCACCCTTCCCGGGCGTGGGCCCGCCTGGGCCGCGCCCCGGGTCTGAGCTGAGATTCCTTTGTGGATCCGGGAGCGATCGGCCTGTGGTCCATGTGTGGCTCGTTCCCGTGAGGCCGCATGTGCCCTGAGGGCGGAGCCGCGCCTGCGGGCCAGGAGGCACAGCCACCGTGCCGGCTGCCCCCGCTGTGGCCGCCGGCGGGAGGAGGAAATAAAGGAGAAAACCAAACGGGAAGTGGGAGCCGGTGTGTCTGTGTGGCAGGTGCTGCAGGCCCTGCGAGGAGGAGGAGGAGGAGGAGGAGGAGGAGGAAGGGAAGGGGGAGGGGAAGGGGCTGAGAGCTGCGTCCCCAGCCAGGCCCTGGGAGCGTGCCCTGCCCTGGGTGTGGGTGGCTGAGGAGAAGGCAGAAACACCGCCTCCACCCCCCGAAGGGTGTGCTTTAATGTTTTCGTTGGTGTCCGAGAGGAAGGGAGGGGGAGCGAGAGAAACGTCCATGGGAGAGAGAAGCAGGGGCCGGCCCCCCCTGCACGCCCCGCCCTGGGGATGGAGCCCGCCGCCCGGGCCTGCGCCCGGACGGGATGGGCCCGGGACCGCCTGGGTCACAGGCCGGCTCAGCCCCGCAGCCCCCGCGCACCAGTGTCCCTGAGGTCCCGAAGCTGGTGGTGAGCAGGGTGCGGGTCTCGCCTGCCGCTGGCCTGCCTCCCCCGCCCCGCCCCCGGCGCCGGGCACTGGGCTGCTGGCCCTTGGGCCGCCCTGGCTCCGCGCTCCGCCCTCATCCCGGCATCCGGCGTTCCCGCCGGCCTCAGTTTCCCCACCTTGAAGGGCAGGAAGACGGGTCTGGTGCCATAAGACGGGTGCTGCTGATGGGGAGGGAGGGGAGTGGGGAGGGGCCTGTGACCCAGCTGCCCCTTTCTCCACAGGGTCCCCGAGACACGGAGAGCCAGCCCAGCCCCGGGGACACCGAGAGCCAGCCCAGCCCCGCGGCCCCGCCGGCCTGGCTGCCCAGCCCCCGCGCCCCCCTTCTCCAGGCGCCCCTCGGCGGGCAGCCGGCCGGCCCCGGCGCCTAGTGCACACGTGTGACCGAGCCCTGCGCCCCACCTCATGGACACCTAACGTCCGTGTGCACAGCGCGTCACACACACTCAGGGACGGGATGCCGCCGAGGGACGCCCAGAGCAGCTCACCAGCAGAACCTCCTGTTCTGGAACCTTCTCTCCAAGGCAGCCGTGGGCGTGTGGGCGGGCCCGTCAGCCTCGGGGCCACGGCCCCTGAGCCCGCCCACAGGCCCGCGTGGCGGCTCCCGGCGGACGGGGCTCCTCGCACACTTCTGGTGCCAAAGCCGGTGGAAGGGCCGCGGGCACAGCCTCCCCCGGCCTCCGAGCCCCTCCCCGGTGAGACGAGTGGAGCTGCGATCCTGAGCCGGCCCTGGGGGTGGCCCTGCCAGCCGCCCACCAGGGCCCATCTTGGGGCCGGCCCTGGGGGGGGGCCGGGGGCCTGTCCGCTCGGCTCCCCCCTGCCCCCACGGCCTCTCTTTTCTACGGGAAGAAAAATGAGCTTTGTCGTCTTTTTAAAAGAACCCGCCGATGAAGTAATAAACCTTTTAAAACGGGACAGCGTCCTAGTGGCCTGTGTGCTGGGGGCTGCGTGGGGTCCGGGCCGCTTTCTGGGCCTCTGGGCTTCTCCGGAGCCTCAGGCTGGGCGCATGCCTGCCCCCCGTTGCTCTAATCACACGGCGTGCGTCCGGTGCAGGTGTTCATTTGTTCATTTTAAAGCGTGCTGGCGACTCAGGGAGCGAGCGAGAAGTTTTACTGGTTTCCCGGCTCCTTGTGATGCCTCCTGAGAGAGGTGGTGAGCGCGGCTCAGGCCCCCGGAGGGGCCGAGGCAGGGCGGGCTCTGGACGGCCAGCCGGGTCGCCACCCGTGAACCGGGCCTGAGGTCCCCTCACGTCCTTGGGAATCAGGTCCTGGCTGCAGTTCCCGGCGCGGCCACGTGGGGGCGGGCTGTCCCCGCAGTGGCTCGGAGACCGGGCCTCTCAGGCGCTGCGGGACCTCCTCCCGCCCTGGGGCGCTCTAACCCGGGAGCGTTTCCTGGGTGATCTTCCGGGCTCCAGAGGGGCCCACGCTCTCCGGGACCGTGTGGGCAAGGGCAGCCCCGGAAAGCGGACGCCGGGCCGCGTGTGCGCTGGGCTGTGGCTGAGCATGGAGCGGGGCCCTGGGGTGCGGAGGGTGATCCTCTGAGCCCCCCCGGAGGGTGCAGGGACCCAGGTGGGCCTGCCCTGGGGGCCCGGACTGTGACTGGGGGTCTCAGTGCTGGGCCCCCAGCCAGCACTGAGGCGCCTACTGTGTGCAGAGCGCACGCTGGGCGCTGGGGAGCGGGGCGCTGAGAGGGCCCTGGAGGTGCATCAGTCGTTCATTCTCTCACTCACTCATCCGTCCACAGACGTGTCCGGGCACGCACCCCGGCCAGACCCCGGGTGTGTAGGCCGGGATGTGTTTGGGGGGGCGGGTCCCCCGCTGCAGACGGGAGACAAAGATTCGGGGCGAGGGCTGTCCCAGGGGGCAGGTCCCCAGGAGGAGCAGCAGGAGCTGGGTTCTGGATTGGGGTGAGAGCACGCAGAATCGGGGTCCCCAGGAAGGAGGCCTGTTTGGGCTGGCAGCGCCCCGGCTCCCGCCTTGGGAACGCTGAGGGGACGAGGGGCCTCCCTGCCCACCCGGGGGGCGGGAGGCCTGCGAGAGCTCGGGGACAGGGAGGGATACAGCGGGTGACGCGAGGAGAGGTGTGGGGGCTGCGGGTTTCTGGAAGGGTCCCCCGGCCCGCAGGATGGGAAGGAACCGGAACAGAGCGGCTTAGGGGCCGGCCTGCCTGTGCAAAGGCCCTGGGGCAGCGGCCCGGCCGGAAGTGGGGGCGGCCGGGGTGCAGGGAGCAGGGAGGGCCGCGCGGGGGCGCCGGAGAGCCGGGCCGCGCGGGTCCGCAGGGCCCTGTGATTGGGGTTTTAACCTCAATGGGGACCCGCGGGCGGGGTTCGGGGGCTGGGGGCCGGGCGCTCCCGGTGGGTGTGGGCGTGCGAGGGGCCGGCCGAGAGGCGCTGCAGTGGGCAAGCCGCTCCTGCCCCCCTCTGGCCCCGGGGACCCCGGACCCCGATGGGGACCCCCACCACCCGCAGGAGGAGGAGGCCGGTCCCAGGTGAGGACACTGAGGCCGGCCACCGGCTTCCTCCCGGTTCCTCCCGGTTCCTCCGGGCGGCACTGCCCCCAGGGAGGCCGGCACCCCAGCCCGGCCCAGGCCCGGCCCCTCCGGGGTGCGAGCGAGTCTTTGTTCAATAAAGGATGGGGAGCGGAGGGCTTTTGGGGGACTTTGCAGAGCCGCCTGGGTGTGGCTGTCCCTCCCCTTCCCTCCCCCTCCCCCCTTTTTCCCTCCCTTCTCCTCCTTCCCCTCCCCCCCTCCCCCTCCCCTTCTCCCCCTCCTCCTTCCCCTCCCCCTCCCCTTCCCCTCCCCTTCCTCCCCCTTCTCCCCCCTCCCCCTTCCCCCTCCCCTCCCCTTCCCCTCCCCTTCTCCCCCTCCTCCTTCCCCTCCCCCTCCCTCTTCCCCTCCCCTTCCCTCCCCCTTCTCCCCTCCTCCTTCCCCCTCCCCTCCTCCTTCTCCCTCCTTCCCCCTTTTCCATCCCCCCTTTTCCTCCACTTCTCTCCTTCCCCCTCCCCTCCCCCCTCCCCTCCCCTTCTCCCCCTCCCCCTCTTTTTTCAGGCCCAGGCCCTCCGGAGGCCGGCAGTGCAGGCGCGGCCACCAGGGGGCGCTGTTGGCCGCCGGGTCCAGGGTGGGTCCAGGGTGGTGCCCAGAGCCCCAGCGGGCGGCCGCGGGCTGTCTCCGGGCCGGGCCGTGTGCGGGAGCGGCGAACAGCCGGCTGTGTCCGGGTCGGGCCGCGGTGCGGGAGCGGCGAACAGCGGGCGTGGATGGACTGGCCTCGCGTTTCAGTTTTCACGCACAGAAGTGCCCACAGCCCCGCCAGGGGGCTCGGGGTGGAGCGTTGGCCAGAAGACCGGAGGGCTGTGGGTTCGATTCTGTCAAGGACACGGACCTCGGTTGCAGGCCTGGTCCCCGGCGGGGTCGGGGCAGGATGGAGAGACACCCATCACTGTGTCTCTCTCGCATGGATGTGTCTCCCTCCCTCCCTCCCCCTTCCTCTCGCTCTAAAAACCGGCAGAAGCCCTGGCGGGTGTGGCTCAGTGGGTAGAGCGTCGGCCTGCAGACTGCAGAGTCCCGGGTTCCGTTCCTGGGAGCCGCTTTCCGGAATCGCTGAGATGTTTCCCACGGGGAACTGAAAAGGCAAAGCTCTGCAGAGAGAGAGAGAGGGAGAGAGGGAGGGAGAGGGAGAGGGAGAAGGAGAGGGAGGCACCGGGAACTGGTTGGGCTGGTTACGTGCCAGCTGCTGGTCTGGGGCCTCTGCCAGGAGCAGCCACCGGGCCCAGCTCCCAGCTCCCCCGCCAGGCCTCCCCGTGGGGGCCGGAGGGGCCGGGACAACCCCTCAGCGAGCGGAGGTGGGGCTCCTGGGACTGACGCCTGGACCCCAGCTGTGGGCGCCCCCGTCTCCCCGCTGCACTGGGCCTGTGTGGCAGGGAGGGATGTTTGAGGATTGAGCCGGTGTCCTGGACGCCCGTCCCTCAGTGTGTGCCGTCCGCTCGGGCCTGCACCCCAGCCACTCCTGAGCTACACAGGGACCTGGGAGCCCGGCGGTGTGGCTCAGTGGCTAGAGCGTCGGCCTGCGGGTGGAGGAAGGGAGCCGGGTTCGGTTCCGGTCACGGGCACGAATCTTGGTTGTGGGCTCCTGGCCCTGGTCGGGGTGCGTGTGGGAGGCGACCAATCCATGAGTCTCTCTCACACACATGTTTCTCTCCGTCTCTCCCTCTCCCTTTCCCTTTCTCTAAAAACCAACAGGAAAATGTCCTCGGTGGAGGATAAAAATAAAATAAAATAAAATAAACGGTGAGCTGGGAGCCAGCAGCCCCGGGGGTCACCTTGCCCTCCCTTTCCTTTCTGAGTGTGTGAGCACGTGTGTGCATGCGTGTGCACATGTGTGTGCATGTTTACCGGAGAGGAAGGAAGGTGCGCGCCCACGACTGCACATGCGTGTTTGTAGTCGCTCTCGCTGTCACAGCCGAAGACGGGGAAGCAGCCGGCGGCCGGGGACGGGTGGAGGGGCGTCTGAGCGTCGCCGGTTCGATTCCCCGTCTGGCGCAGGCCCAGGGTTCCGCTCCCGTCCCCGGTGGGCGGCTTGGAGGGTTCTGGATCCACGTCTCCCTCTCTCAGCAACGTTCCTCCCCCTCAAATCCCCAAAAGCACATGAAAGGAAGAAGAAGGCGGACGGGCAGAGAGGGCAGTCGGGGCTGAGAACAGGCCAGGGGCACCGGTGAGGAGGCCGGGAGCCCCGAGGGGGAGCCAGGCCTCTGCAGCTCCCCCAGGCCCCGCGGGGTTCCTTCCCTCCGGAGCCCAGGCCGGCTCGGGCTCCTGCGGTGCGGTTTCCTTTCCATGAAATGGTTCCACTTGTTTATATATATATATTTTTTAAAATATATATTTTTATTGATTTTTTACAGAGAGGAAGAGAGAGGGATACAGAGTAAGAAACCTGGATGAGAGAGAATCATCCATCAGCCGCCTCCTGCACACTCCCCACAGGGGCTGTGCCCGCAACCAATGACATGCCCTTGGCCGGAATCGAACCCAGGACCCCTCAGTCCGCAGGCCGACGCTCTGTCCACTGAGCCACACCGGTCTCGGCTCCACTTGTTATATTTTTGTCAATGATCTGAAGGTCCCTGGTTTGATCCCGGGTTTCAGCACCATCGAGATAGATTAAATGGAGGAGGGCCGGAGACCGGGGGGCAGGACACACACAGGCTTTATTGGAGGGAAGAGTCCCCCTGCCGGCTGCTTCCACGGAGCAGGCGGGAGAGGGCGAGGGCCGAGGGCCGGGGGACAAGCACCTTTAAGGACAGGGGGCGGGCTTAGGGCGCTCAGCACACGCTGATCGGTGATTAGGGACCCAGGGACTTGGGAATGGGGGCTCAGGGCATTTGGCAGGTGCTGTCGGTGGTTCAGAGCTCAGGAATGTCTGGCCACAGGTGGGGTTTACGTCTGTCCATCGAGTGGAGGAAGGGAGGACCTATCAGTCAAGTGTGCTTTTATTGATTTTTAGAGAGAGGGGAAGTGGAGGGAGAGAGAGAAACATCCACGAGGAGAGAGAGTCAGGGACCGGCTGCCTCCTGCACGCCCCCCACTGGGGATGGAGCCCGCAACCCAGGCCTGTGCCCGGACCAGAATCAAAGCGGTGACCACTGCATAATATATATATTGAATATCCTTTTATTGATGTCAGAGAGAAAGGGGGAGGGAGAGAGAGAAACATCCGTGATGAGAGAGGATCACGGACCGGCTGCCTCCTGCACGCCCCCCACTGGGGCCCGAGCCTCCAGCCTGGGCCTGTGCCCCGACCCTGAATCAAACCCTGAGCGCCTGGTTCCTAGGTCGACGCTCACCACTGAGCCATGCGGGCCGTGCAGGAGGCAGCCGATCCGTGATGCTCTGTCCTCATGGATGTTTCTCTCCACTGAG